TAGCTCTTATAGTCTCTGAGATCTAGGCGCTCAACAAGACGGACAGACAGAGAGACGGACAGACAGCCATGGCTATATCGACTCGGCTATTGATGCTGATCAAGAATATATATACTTTATGGGGTCGGAAACGTTTCCTTCTCTGCGTTACACACATCCACTTTTACCACAAATCTAATATACCCCTTAACTCTTTTTTGAGTACGGGTATAAAAAATGTTAGATGTATTCAGTTGAATGGCTAAAACGAGTATTACCTTATGCACACAATCTAATTTTGTTAGTCGACAAAATATTCCCTGGGGAAATAGACAGTGTAATTTCCGCGGAAATTTCAGATCCGTCTATTGATCAACTACTGTTAGATATAATTACTGTTTGAGATGCCAAGCTTTTTTTGGCACCTATATCTATCCAAAATCAGTTAAAAGACTTTCGATTTACAACGTTATAATGTTTATTTATACCGACGGCTAGCTGAAGCCAATTGCTCGCTCTTTTGCCCAGCCAGATAAATGTGCACAAGCGGGGGTTCGGTATGCAACCTATGCGGCGAGAGATTAGCATAGAACTACTTTACCACGACGGCCTATCAATACAAGAGCCGAAGCGGCAGGTGCAGAGCGCCCTTTAACAGGGAGAGCGCAGCAGCACTGCCGAACGCTGGGGACATACATAACTTAGGTTTCGATACTCTTATACAACTAGTTACAGCTACATTTAATATTATGATAGACGCTTAAGTAGCCGCTGGCCCGAACATACTCCCCCCGTTTCAACTGACTTCTCAAGGGGCAGCAAACAAAGCCGCGTAACGGCCCTCCTGATGGTTCCTGAAGCCGTCTTCAAATCAGCCACGCGGCATACTCCATCCTTGCCTTTGACGACGTCGACCCTTCTAGCCAGTGGCCAACGCATTGGAGGAAGATTCTCATCCTTCACCAAGACGACATCGTTGACGCAGAGGTTTTTCGCAGGCGTACGCCACTTCGAGCGCACTTGCAAAAGAGTCAGATACTCTTCTCGCCAACGCCTCCAGAATGTCTGCTGCAGTTGAGTGACCCGCTGCCAACCATCCAGACGGTTGTAATTGAGCTTCGTTAGGTCAGGTTCGAGAATTGACTAATGCGGGCCTCCCAAAAGCAGATGAGCAGGCGTCAACACATCCAAGTCATCAGGATTTTCTGAAAGCGAGAGCAAAGGGCGAAAATTAACAATTGCCGCGATCTGGCAGATTAATGTGCGGAGCTCGTCAAAGCGGTACAGGTGATACTTTGCGGACTTCACGGCCGCTTCCCACAATCCGCCAAAGTGCGGAGAGCGCGGGGGGATGAAATGCCAGTCGATGGTGTCAGCCAAGCAGGATTCATGGACTTCCTTCATGTGCGAGTCGCTCAAGAAAAGCTTCTTCAGCTCCAGAAGCTCATTCTTAGCGCCAACGAAATTTGTCGCATTGTCCGACCAAATATGACTTGGCCTTTCTCGAGTGGACGTAAAACGTTTCAATGCGCCTAGGAACGATGCGGTGGTCAGATCTTTAACAAGCTCCATGTGTATGGCCTTAGATGTGAAGCAAATAAACACGCTTATGTAGCACTTGATCGGAGGCCTCGTGCGGATTTCTGATCGGTAGAAAAAGGGTCCATAATAGTCCACTCCAGTTACTTCGAAGGCCCGCGATCCTTCCAGACGCTCCTTAGGCAAGTCTCCCATAATGTGCTCAGCCATGCGCGGTCTCGTCCTGAAGCATCTCACACACTTGCTAACTACTTTCGAGACGGCTTTGCTTCCTCCAATAGGCCAATATTCTAATCGAATTTTAGCCAGCAAGGCACGAGGTCCGGCATGGAGGTTCCGTTGATGATAACAGCATATCATTGCAGACGTTACGGGATGTCCCTTGGGCAAAATAAACGGGTGCTGAGCATTAAGCGGGAGCGATGAGTCGCCGAGACGACCTCCAACTCGGAGTAAACCAGACGGATCGATGAACGGAGATAGCGAACTGATGGAGCTAGACTTTCTGACTTGCCCATTGCGTCTAATCTCCTTTATGTCCGACCACAAACTTGCCAGATGAACGTGTCGAACAAGTAGATGCGTTCCTTGCTGAGTGTCAGAAACCCTGAGTCCAGGATGCCTAAGACGATGAACGAATTTATGTATGTAGGCGAATGTGCTGTGCATGCCAAAGAAAGAGTTTGCAAATTTGCATCCGGACGTGAGATCGGCATGTGGAGACGCGATCAGCAATACACGTTTGCGAAGCTTAATGGTCGGAGTTTCAGAAACGGGAGATACAGGCCACTCATCTTTAGAACCTAAAAAAACGAGGGGCCGTGAAACCACAGCTCTGACTGGATGAGTTGGCTGGGAAGCGAGCCTCTGGAGAGGATATCAGCGAGATTCAACGATGTGGGTACATAGCGCCATTCCATGCCTTGCGTCAACTCCTGAATTGTTGCCACTCGATTTTCCACGAAAACCTGAAATTTGGCTGGCTCATCCCGAATCCAAGATAACGCCGTAGACGAATCCGACCAGCAGTAAAACTGACCTGGGAAGATTCCCGTCTCCTTTAAGTTGCGCATAACCGTCGCAAGCAAATGGGCTCCACTCAATTCGAGCTTTGGAATCGACAATGATTTTAGTGGCGTCACTCGAGACTTAGAGCATAAAACATTGCTCGACGACTCCCCTTGCCTGGACACGACATATATGCAAGCACCATATGCTTCCATGCTGGCATCACAAAATCCATGAACCTCTACAATTGTAATGATGGACAACGCGAGGAAAGGAAATGCGAGAGATGCTTGCCAAACTGTTTCTCAGGTCGATCCAAGTTGAGTGCAGCGCTGTCGGTAGGCTTTTATCCCAGTCCAAATGTTCTCTCCAAAGCTGCTGAAGAAAGATCTTGCACCTGACAATAACAGGATTAATCAATCCAAGAGGGTCGTAGTAACGCGCAATAGTTGATAAAACCGACCGCTTGGAGGGCCTTGAATTCGTGTCCAGCGCGGACAAGGCAAACAGCAGCTGATCCGACGCAGGGTCCCAAGCTAAACCGAGAGTTTTGGTAATGTCGCTTCCATCATGAAACCGTAGAAATTTCTCCACGTCGTCTTCTGGAATTCCATCAAGCACCTCCTGTTTACTCGAGCACCATTTTCTAAGCTTAAAGTTACCGCAAGACAGTAGACTTGAAGTTTGGCGCATCTTTTTCATGACCTCTGCGACCGAGTTGCCGCCAGAGATGAGATCATCAACATAGAACTCCTGTTGCAGAGCAGCTGAGCCAAGAGGTTAGGGATTACCCTCGTCGATGGCCAGCTGGTGCATTGCGCGGACAGCTAAAAACGATGCAGCCTTCGTACCGTATGTGACGGTGTCTAACGTGTAGACCTGAACCTTGGACTGGATGGAATATCGCCATAGGATACACTGGAGAAAATTGTCAGGTGGAGATACCTTTACGCAGCGGTACATTTTACAAATGTCACCAGTGAGAGCAGCGGGATATGTGCGGAACCGGATCAGTATGTTAAATAATGCAGGCTGAATAACAGGACCTGTCATCATCACATCATTTAAAGAGCATCCAGTTGATGTAGCCGCAGAGCCATCGAAAACGACACGGAGTTTTGTCGTGATACTATCCTCCTTTAAAACGCAGTGATGAGGCAGAAAATACTTGCAGAGGCTACGTGAGTCAGGATGGACTTTGGACATATGCTTTAAATCAGTATACTCTTTCATAAAAGCTGAGTAACGCTCCTTGAGCGCGGGATTACGATCCAGTTTTCGCTCCAAACTGAGAAATCGTCGATACGCCTGAGTATAGGACTCTCCCAAGCGATCAGCATCATGCTTTAAAGGCAGTCGAACGGAGTACTCCCCTGATGGCAAACGTGAAAAGTGGCTTACGAAATGCGCCTCACAATCTACTTCTTCCTTTGTACTCAAGCTAGCCTCCACACAATTCTCGACTTCCCAAAACATACGAAGAGTTCGATCAAACCATGCATTCATTCTAGCCTCCGAATCCGGAGAATTTTGGGTTGCCAAAAGCGACGAGCTTGACACCCTCTGTCCACCACCAGATACGATCCACCCAAGCCGGGTCTTCTGCAGAAGAGGCCATCTATCTATGAGCTTGATTTGCCCTACGCAGAGAAGGTCATAGAATATGCTCGCGCCAATGAGGAGATCTACTCGCTGAGGATTAAAGAATGCAGGATCGGCAAGCTGAATATTGGAGGGAATGTTCCAATCGGCTACATTAACTGCCAGACTTGGTTGGCTATCTGTGATTGTGGGTGCGAGGAGAGCAGTGAGTGTGGTCGAATAGTCCGAAGTGCGAGACTGCATGCAAATGCTGACGGTGGATCCCTCAGTGGACACGCTAGTATCGACCAGGCCAGAAACAAGGGCAGACGATTGAGTTCTCCTAAGCTGAAGCTGCTGGGCTAACCTGGATGTAACGAGATGCAGCTGGGATCCTGAATCTAGAATGGCGCGACAAGGAACCAAAACGCCAGATCGATTTTTAACCAAAACAACAGCTGTGGCCAACAGCACAACATCGGAGTGGAAACCTTGGCAGCAAGAGAGGTAGACGCATGAGACGGCACACTGCTAGCAGAATCCTGAACCGGCGTAACCTGGTTGTACCGCTCGTTCTGGAGGAGAAACAGCTGGGGAGCTTTGCGCTATGGATGAGTCGAAGTGCAATAAGGTATGATGCCTCCTTCCGCAAACCCTACACTGGCCACCTGTACATGCACGAGTCCGATGACCCGATTTTAAGCAGTTAAAACAAAGTGACAGCTTCTTCACTTCCTTGGGTCGCAGAAAAGGAGATACATTTGTAAAGATGCTGCACGTATATTCCGTGGCCCGCTGAATGGCAGAAAGGGCATCCAGACGGGTCGGCGGAAGAGTTAGAATCAACAAAAGTTTTCTTTAGATGTGTAGACTGGCTTTTTCCCACCTGAGCGCTACCAGCGTGTGTCGCTGTACTGCACGTTCTCCATCTTCTGGCATCGCTTCTCCAGGAAATCGTAGAACTCCCCAGCTGTGGGTATCCAGTCCGCTGACGCAGCCTCTTCCCATTTGGTTTGGGTCTTCGCATCTAGTTTTTGCAGCAGCATGTGGATTATCATGCATCCCGATATCTCCTCAGCACTTCCTAATGTCTGCAGGGCACGGTGAATCTACCTTCTTGAGCCCAAGAATCTCCTTGATGTGTGCCTGGAAAACAAGTCGTTTATTATTAAAACGTTTGCTAAGTATGTCCAGAGCCACACGATAATTGGCACTAGAGAGCTCCAACGATCGAACCGAATCCAGGGCAGCATCCGAGAGACATGAGCGAAGATGTTGGAACTTCTCGATTTCACTGAGATCTGCATCCCCTTTGGTGACCGAGTTGAACATGGCAATAAAATCCGCATATTCCACATAGCCACCGGAGAAGCTAGGTAGCTTCAGCTCAGGAAGCCACTGCTTGTGAGCCATGATGATGGTATGACCTACAGAGCTATTTGGCATGCTAGTGGAATGAGCAGCTACGCGTAAATGACCTAGTTCGAGAGCAGTCAGCAACTCGGCTTTCAAAGAAATGAACAGCGTATCGAAGGTTTCACGCAGCTCACTTCCAATCTCGTCTTCATCCAGCGATTCCAACTCATGATGGGACTTGTTGAACTCCTCACGCATTTCCGCCAGCATATCGAGGCGCACATCTATTTCAGACGCACTTAGTTTGTCGAGTTTATTCCCCGAGAATGACTCGCCAAGACGGTGCAGCCGATCATGCAGAGACTGAACTTTACGCTTGTAAAGCCTCAGCCTTTTTTCCTCCATCGCAATATTTCCGCCCGCGCCTGTATTCGACTCTTTGTCCTTGCCAACCGGTAATGCAACGAAAAAATGGAAAATGTAAGACCGCTTAAGCGACGGCGAACAGAACGGGAGCGAGAATAGAAGACACGGAAAGTCAAGGGCCGCGGCTGCAGCGACGCAGAGCAAGAGCGATTCGGCGATTAAGCAACGTAATATTAGACGGCTGCAGTCTCACTGAACTTGCACTTTAACTGTTTTTATTTGCAAAAATGTATTTGTTGGTCGTTAAACCGCAGAGCAACGAATATCTTATTTAATTTTTATAGTTTTTAAACGGAACGCGATTAAAAATTGTAGTTAAATCACGTCACCAATGTTTGAGATGCCAAGCTTTTTTGGCACCTATATCTATCCAAAATCAGTTAAAAGACTTTCGATTTACAACGTTATAATGTTTATTTATACCGGCGGCTAGCTGAAGCCAATTTCTCGGTCTTTTGTCCAGCCAGATAAATGTGCACAAGCGGGGGTTCGGTATGCAACCTATGCGGCGAGAGATTAGCATAGAACTACTTGGGCCACGACGGCCTATCAATACAAGAGCCGAAGCGGCAGGTGCAGAGCGCCCTTTAACAGGAAGAGAGCAGCAGCACTGCCGAACATACATTAGTTTAGGGTTCGATACTCTTATACAAATAGTTACAGCTACGTTTAATATTATGATACACGCTTAAATAGCCGCTGGCCCGAACAATTACCACAAACATGATTCATGGCCCATGCGGAGATATGTATCCCTAATAAAAAATGAAAAATTTACAAAGCGTTTTTCAAAAGATTTTACCAAAGTCGGTAAATATCCAATATATTCAAGAAGAAATATTGATAGTTGTGTACAATCATTCATGATAAAAATCAACAACGTAGCCGTTTAGAGTCGATAGGTAGTACCATATTCTCCTGTTTAGAAAAACATTCACATTAATGTTGAGTTCTGCAGCTCAATGGAATCTATCAAATACATTTGCAAGTATGTGAATAGTCAGCGATATGGAAAAGTCTAATCTACATATACTATACATTTGTAGAAAAAAAATGTGTGTGTATCTCCGCAGCGCGTGACCCATTTGGATACGGTTTTTTAAATATAGTTAGAGTATGTGGTAAACATGATTTTTATTATTTTTTAGTTGCGATACATGCCATTGCGATGAGTAATGTGAAAATGTCTAAACCTTTTTGTTCTTTATGCCAGTGAGGGCTCTTAAAATAAATAAAATTTCATTTTTCTCATTTTTGAGAGAAACTTAAAATAAATAAACTTTAATTTTTCTCATTTTTTTAGTGATTTCCTTTCATATTTTTTAAGCGGATTTTTCAGGAAGTGTCCAATATACGGTACAAATTTTTTTCCAAAAAAAATCACATCACTATATTTTTGATAATATTTTTCTGTATGAAGGAATCAATTTAGTTCCTTCACTAACAGCTACCTAAGACCTTTAGCTTTGATTTGGTACTCATGTGATTTTATAATATGCACTTGGTCAAATATTTTGAGGCAAAGACAAAACTGTGTATACAACCAGAACCCGTCCCTTACTAATTTGCATGCTCTGGCATTGTCACAACTTTAGCTATTGGGAATGTAATCTCCTTCAATAATGAATCTTTTCACAAGTTGCTTTAGTATCTTCAAAAATGCATCTTTCGACCAGTCCATCTTGTGGAGAAAAATATTCTGCATCAACAGTGAGGATCGACCCGTTTGCCAGAATCACGGAGGCTGCATTACATTTTAACTGGATCGTGATGTCTTTAGCCTCCTCCAGTTGGAGGTTATCAGACGGCTGCACTACTACGGTTTATGTTCGATAGAAGATTATCCAGGTTATATGATAGCCTGAAATCGTTCCACATTATGATCTATAGTTTGTAGGTATGGTGTTGATGTTGTTACGTTTTTACTGTTTGTATCTCCGGATTGGGGAATGTATATAATAGAGAATCGTTTATAGTTTCTAAATGTTTTTTTCAAAACTAGTTGTTTAGGTGATTCAAAAATGTCAGACTCAAGACTGCGGGGGAAGACAGGTCAGAAGCATTGCTATGATGTTCATTTTAATGTTCAGGACTTGGTGTAATTTTCTGCTTATTTATTTTTTACTTAATGTCATTGCTCATTGCCAGTCTTAAACCTTTGATGCACTAGCTAAATTTTTTTTTGTGTCGTACAATTTTTCTGTTAACGATTTGAAAATTAACAAAAAGTTAGTTTTACTTCATTTAGTACTCGTAATACAATTAATTTAAAACAATTGCAGTGGACCACTATTATTTGGCCTTTAACTTTATTTCTTATAAAACTTTCCTTATAGAATCGATTTAATAATTGCTTGCTCTTGAAATTGTTTTGATTTATCTGACCCAAACTAAACACATCTATTTATATACTCGGTATATCAGCTATAACTCAGTTAATAGTGGAAGCCCAAATTCATATATCGCTCTTCTTGGCATCCTCCTTTTCAATCTCAGGGTATTCCAACGTAATGCCTGGCTCACATGTAAAGATAGGGCAGCAATAAGGGAAGGGCGCGGTTTTGTTGGTCTTTGATGTGTCCAATTTACACTTGTCATTTGCCAAAGGCAGCGGCCCGCAATCCTCAACAAGTTCTAGAAGTCTGTGAATACGAAATGTATATAGTTGCGGCTTTAAAAAACAACTGAGTCAAAATATTACTTTGTCTTATTCTCTTCATTTTGCACACAAGTGGAACGACCACAGAACGGAGTCAAGTCCCATGATTTTCCAGGCTCCACGGTAGCACAACGTGTGGAAGCAAAGCACATTCCCGGAAAATCTGAAAGTTTTTAAGCCAAAATATACTCTTGGTTTATCATTTAATATTTGTATACTTATATATATATATGTAATATTAATATTTTATTGCAAACAAATTTTACTGGTGTTGTATTACTTTACACGAATACCAGAGCATAAGAAATTACTTTCTTAGGAGAAACACACATATTAAAAAAGCTGAGGTAAAAACTCGAGATCTGATATAATAATTTGACTATATGATTAGAAAATGAACAAGCTTTAAACAGCAGTTTTAACGCACACGGGATCAGGGAGCTGTCGAACTGCAAGTATATATCATCCATACTCATCATAACATTATTTTATATTAGCATGACTTTTTATATTGTTATATTATATTATGTTATATTATATTGTTTAAGAAACAAATTTTTTTTCTGTAAATACATACATATGTACATATGAGCAAAAACACATCCCAATAGTATAAGCACCTACATATGTATGTATGGATGAAATGTATATACATATGTATTCATAACCAGTGGTTTTTGCAACCGTAGTCTGCGTAATATATGTAGTTGCAATATTACATTTTGGCTTACACACAAATGACCTTGCACTAAAGAGCAAAGCAGGCTTTTTATGTATGTACATACATATGCATATGTACATACATATGCACGAAGTTAAAGCTGTCTGATTTTGAGCGTCGAAAAGCTGTTCGGCAAGGGTATGAATCAACACCGGGCAGGGCAGGTAATAATAGCAAAAACTAACATTAAAATTCAACTGAAGCTTCCATTTTCAGTAAACGTGTTCCAAACTTGATTGAATACCTCTTGCATTATGGTTAATGGGCTGACTCACCTCTGAGCACATCAGCCGGAATAAGGCGTTTGTAAATTCGTATTTCACCATCACTATTTGGCTGATCTGCTATCCCTTTTTGGTCAGCCTCAGCATTGAAAGGGACTATAATAGTTGTTATGGCGAGAGCCACAATAAGTGTAAGATGGGCATTCATTCTGACTAACGAGAAGTTTCTAAAACTGAAATCGCGTTTTGATATTAGCAGCCAAAAACCAAATCGACCATAACAACAATCGGATTAAAAGTAGGAACACAGGAAATCAACAAAACATCTGTCCGTTCGCAGCGAAAGTTAAAAACAAATTGAGACCAGCAGACCTCTCACACCACTACTTATAGTAATGTCGCGTATGTGGAGGTTTCGAGAGTTTAAGCTTTGGCTAGGGCTTACTGATGTTGGAAATAAACGTACCGTGGCGACTGAAAGTTGTTAGAGACAAACAAAGAGCAGCTTTGTGCTTTTCCCGCTTTTGAGTTAGCGTAAATACACGTCGACAAATAGTTTTTCATACATATCCATGCGTAATTACTTATGATTTTGATGTTATATTCAAGTATGTCATTTTTATTACATACGTGTAATCGTGAATTTAACATACACATATGCTAAGTATCTGTCATATTTTTTATATATAAATTGTTGATATAGTCTGCTGTTGATACATTACATTTTGAGCAGCCTTATTTTATAGGATGAGATCCTATTTTTAACCTATTTACGTAACGGATCATTTAAGTTTAATGGAAATTTGTTAGCAAAAAAAAAGTATTTACAGATCTGTTTTATGATAAACTATACCCGTACAGAGTTCAGCGGTAAGCCACATGGACCTTTATTCAATGCGCAGTACTCCCTTGTGGTGAGCTTTTTGGTGGCCACTCGATCCCTGTTTCAGATTGCTAAATTAATAACTTTTGCCCGAATCTAGAAGCTTTACAATAAAAAGTCAAAGTTTCACTTCGATTCTGGTTCATATTTGCCTGTTTACGGTGCAAAAAAGCTACAATTTTATTTTTTATACCTGTACTAAAAAAGAGTTAAGGGGTATACTAGATTTGTGTTAAAAGTGGATGTGTGCAACGCAGAGAAGGAAACGTTTCCGACCCCATAAAGTATTTATAATCTTGATCAGCATCAATAGCCGTGTCGATTGTACGTCTTGATGAGCGCCTAGATCTCAGAGACTATAAGAGCTAGAGAAACCAAATTTTGTTTCCAGAATCATGTGATGTGCTACAAGTGTATTTAAAAATTTCGACCGCCCGCTTCCGCCCCACAAAGGACGAAAAAATGTGGCAGGCATGTTAGATGTCGAATATA